TTGAAAAAAAAAAAAAAAAAAAAAAAAAAAAAAAAAAAATAGAAATTACTTACTTGATGTTTTTGTTTTGTTCTTTTTTTACTGTCTCTTTGCCTCTAGAGCCATTTGGAAGCCGTTTTATCAACGTTTAAGATTTTGAGTTGTACTAACGGTAAGAGTACGACTCAAAATCTTAAACGTTGATAGTACGGCTTCCAAATGGCTCTAATGATCCCCCCTTACGAATGACCCACCCTTTTATTCTCCTAAAACTGATCAAGCGATCCCCCCCAAAAAAAAAAAAAAAAAATCCTCCGATCCCGCCTTGACGATAAATACTGACGGGTCCCTAATAGCAAATCGTCACTAAGCATGATGAAGACCTGTTTTCCGCGGTCGAAACGTTGCGGTCAACATCTAACTGACAATCGTGAGACAAACGATAAACGCAACCCTTTATACAAAGACTCTCATTCATCTTTTCATCACAATGTACAAAATTTTATTCATGATTTTGAAAACACATCAAATTCTATAACAACGACTGAAAAAAAAAAAGACCTCGCAAAAATAAATAAAATATCAAACGATTTCATGATGATTTGCTTGTCAACTGACACACCATTCGGCTTGCAGAAAATTGCACAACACACGCAATAAAATAGTATCTTTGAAATTTGCAAGCAAAGACTTGACTCTTATCACAAGAACGATACTACCATGACTTATGCTGAAATATCTATTTAACACGTTCTACAATCTCACATTGCTCAAGATATCTACAGACTATAACTAATCTCTCATTCAAAGGATGGGTAAATAAATTAACAAGGCTTAAGTTTTCTCATCCAGGTCTGACTGCTTTTCATTGCAACAAAACGCTCCAGCAATAAATTACCTTCAACATTCCTTTTCATCTGTATCATATTAATCTTTTTCTTACAAATATAAACAGCTCTCGAGAAAACTGCGAGTGCTCGTTTTCTCTGCCGGTACAAATTTTCTTTCCTTTGCTTTCTTAAAAATGCACAAAACAACTTTCATTCATTGTCAACAGAGATTGCCAAAGCCTCTTTAGTTTCATTGTTAAATAAAATTTTGCAGTTGCCTGTTGAATTTCAAACCTATTTTTGTGCAATGTATTATTATGAAATGACCACAGCTTGACTGGTGATTCCTATACAACCACAATTCACAATTTTTTTCTTGAAAATAAATACGCTAATTACAACTTTTATTGTTTAAACTAAGTTGATTTGTTATAGGACCTAACCACTCTATTCTTGCGATAATGATGGATTGGCCAGGATACATAGCTACAGTATGTGTTTCAATTTCTATTTACAAATCATAATACAATCATCATCCGGGTTGTCACTAAGATTTCAAGTTGCTGGTAAATACAACGAGTAGGCGGAAATCAGACAGCTGGGGATTTCTTTTGGTTCTTTTTTTCGTCTATTTTCCAACGAAAGTAGCCAGGGGAAAACCCGGGGCGCTGGGTCTTAATGCGGCCCTGATCATAGTCCTGAAAGAAAATTATAAAATTCCAGGAAAATACTGCCAGTAAACGAAAACCCTAATCAAATACAACACAAACCACTGGCTAACAAGCAATAGCCTCTACTCAGCTACAACAAGATAAATTATTGCCATTACCTATATATTAACCTAAATTTAACTGTAAAAACACTTGAAAGTTTTATCACTTCTTTTTAACTTAACTTACTTTGTTTCTCAAGTGGATCATCATTAATATTAATTAAACTTGATGTTTTAAGTATTATAGAGTTCTTACAGGTAGTAAGCAAAGTTCTCCTGAAGTATTCATTACTTTGCTAGATATAGTGGACATGACTTCCGAACATTTTGTTTGTTCAAGTCTAAAACGTTTTGCTCTTCTTACAAACTGGTTCTTCTATCTTGTCTTCCTCTTCAGCCTCAAGGTAAACTCCTTCTACTGCTGAGAACTGCCTGCCTTTCACTTCATCTTCCAGACCCTGATTACAGACAAAGTCACTTAGTTAGAGCAAAAAAGAAGGTCATGAGGTAGAAATATGAAGGTGAGCTTCTAAACTTTGCACTGCAGATTACTTGTAACATATGAAGGCTACTGGGCGCCCCAACCATTTACCAGTGTTTATTACAGTATTCTGCTTGAAATGTTAAACATATAAATTTCATATACTGAACTGCTGGATGAAGAAATAAATCCAAAGAAAATCATCACAGTTCAATACCTGCATTTTTTTAAGGCTTTCTTTTCGCTACTGCATAAGTTGTGTATTTAACTGTGGTGATCTTCTCTGCATTAATTTTATGGCGTTATGCTTATTTGTAGGTATTTGACTAGTAATAGCCTACCTCTCCAGCATATGAGAGAAGAGGAGAAATCTCGCACACCACAATTTTGAGCCTGAAAAGGAAGGTAGAATAACCAGTTTTAGGAAACATGACAGACAAGTTGTGGCTGAGCAGGTGGGAAGCTTCAGAAAATATGGACTGTGGTTGGCCATGATGTAATTTTTTTACCCTTGTAGTCTGCTCAGCTGATTTGGATATAGTTTGTAGCGGGTCATCCTCCCACCACCACTATAGTTTTTTGTTTATGCACAGAATTTCCACCCAGGTGATTGGTGTAAATGGTAAGTATCCTTGATCTTGACTTACACCATGTGCTACAAACACTTTTATGTTAGGATGAGTTTGATTCATCATGTGTTGATTGAGTGTGCCAGTAAAGGTGCCTGTTACACAAACACGTTTACTACATGCAGTAAGAGTTGCGTCTAATAAAAAATGCAGCAAACCCAAACATACATGTAAATGTAATTATATCATGCCCTGTTTCCCTTGTTTGGCATTTCTTTATAAGGTGACTTTGCACTCAAACTTTGAACAATTATGACTGACGTCACATAAACTAATGAGCCAGTACAGAATCAACATACCCATTTCTGTCAATGAATTTTCCACCAGCCTTGACTATGTAATTGTAGTGTAAACTGAACAAATCCTGCTGGGCTGTCTCTGGGCTGTCAGAGGGTGAGCCCTTGGCATTCTTCAGGGGAGAAAACTCCTCATCCCGAGCAACTTCCAACACTGCAAGTTTTCTACGATCAAATAAACAGCAAACATAATAAGACTGTAGTTTGTACATGCTTACGTGGATGCAAATGTCATCAACAAGACAGGCTTGACATTTGGGATTGTACATGTAATCTCCAAAGTTTCACACTAATGAATTTTTGATGTAGTTATATAAGCTGACATAAATAATTGCAGAAACCTGTGCACATGCAAAGAATTAAAGGTACAAACATTAGAAATTAGCTGGTCTGATGCAAACAAAAAAACAAACAAACTCTTCACATTACACTTGTAACTTCTACTCTCAGAAAAAATCTATCATTATTTTTTCATGAACAGTGTTTTTACTTTTTTCAGTGAGGCACTACTTTGGAAAGAACTTCGGATGCAACCTTTTTCTTTTGAAAGTACAGCTGTGTACAGTAACTACTGGTGCATACACATGTACAGTCATGTATATAAATATTTGGAAGGCTCTTTGTTTAATAACAAATTTCTAATACTTGTTGGACATACATGTATTATTATGTGGTGTAACTTATGTTGCTAAAAAGAGAAAGCTCTGAAAAGCACTCTCAGCTGGTGTTATCACAAAGGTACAGATTAATTTAAGTGAAACTTAATAAAGGAAGTGTTCAGTGCACTGTTGACCATCCATCTCTAAGTTTAACTATATGGTACATGTAGGTACTTCACTTACTCTGTGAATTCAAACACATCAAAGACAAATTTTTCCAGCTTTATTCCACTGGGTTCGTCAGGTTTGATCCTACAAAAAATTAAATGGTTAACATGCATGTACTTTTTTTTCTGTTTCAATGCCCACTTGATCCATTTCAACACTTTCAACATCCAGTGAGATTGTTCCGGATCACTCTAATGTAAACTATTAATAAATGACAATGCGTTTTAACTAAAATTCACTTACCACTGATGTGCAAAAACTAAAAAAAAATAAAGTCATCAATCCAACAACATCAAAGTACAATTACATTTACCTTTTCCCACTATCATCAACAAAAGGTATCTTCTTTTTGGCAATATGGTATTTCATTGATGTTTCATACTCTCTAAAAATAGAACAAGCCAAAGTTATAGTCGTTGTAGGGGTGGCTGCATTAGTGGCATAGGGCCACATTACATTGCTGATTGCTTTTAAGTTACCTTAAGATGTGGCGGGCCAATGATGAGATTTCCCAGACACTTTTCGTTACATTGTAAACAGAAGATACTTTATTTCAAACAAATTTTTAGTTTGTCACTTGTCTGTGTTGAAATGCCCATAACTTTTATTTTTTTACTCTGACTGGTTGCATTTATGAAGTGAATAAATATACACCTGAGGCGATTGGTTGCATTTAAGGGGTAGTCACATAGACAGGGTTTTTTTTACAGGTAAATGTACATGTATAGCCAATCTGCTAGGACAAATTGAGGTGGTTGTCACAATAACAAGATGGCTTAATGATACAGTGTACATGTGTAATTAATGATATTGTATTTAAAAAATAATTAAATAACAATTTTTAGCACACTGTAGTATTAGCAAATGACACTGTTAGAGTTATTTACAAACTACCACACTCAACCATTTTATTACATTACTTACATGCACGAATAAATGTTACTATGTGTTATTTTAAGCCATCACTTACAAATGGAACTACAGAAGGATTTGGCCATTACACGTATGTTAAACTAATCTCAAGAAATACTCACTTTACAACTCTATCCAAAAATTCCATGGTGAAGAAATGATTACAAATGTTTCCTTCTCGAAACAAGAGTTTGTCACTGGCTAGTGGGTCTTTCATCTTCGAGTGCTCTTCTGATATCTCACTGTACTCAACAACCTGAGGAGGAAATACCCAGTTACTCAATGTTCATCACCTACTGACATCGCTAGGAAACCAAAAGAAACGTACATGTAGGTAGTATTTTGAGATAGTCTCTTAAAAAGAGGTCACATCAAGGTGCAAATTAAGAAAGCTGTAGCTTGCATGCACTAGCTCCAAAAAATTACAGTCCTTCTGTAATTTAAATTCCCCAAAACACTTCACTTACATGTACCCTTCAGGCAAGTTAAGAACAGAATTCACTAGTCTGATAACAAAATCCAGCAGCCTGGGCTATTGAACACCACATTCTTTGCATGTTGCTCATACAAGTAGTTGAAGTTAAGAAGGTCCTTAAGTGTGACTCACAACCTCTTACCAATTGACCAAAATAGACATAATTATTACAGCCTCAACAAAGCCCCAGTAAATGTGGGGAAGCAGTAAATACGACAGAGAACTCAATGTAGTTACATGTATATTTCAGACAACATTAACACAACATGGCGGTCATAAAGTAACGAGAGCGAGGCAGAAAAAGGTTCTGTTCTTGTGACGTAAGCATTACATAAATGACCGCTGACCAGGTAACGAATTACATGAAAGGTAACGAAATACACGTTCAAATGTCACGATTTAACTATTTCACATCCTCCGGGGAGAGGGGCGAATGTCCCTTGGCCCAATCTGCAATTCTCCTTATTGCTCGCCGTGCTGCATCTCTTTGTGGTCTCCTCACAGGGGTTGGAGTTTCTACTGCGGGTTGCTTGATCCTCTGTGCAACACTGTGCTTCCTTGGCGGAACTTCTAGAGGGTGTAATCTTGTTATGGGACGGTTTGTTGTTCCATTGGCGGTGCGTAAATTTTATGGAACGACAAGTCCATCGCGACCTCTGTTAATGGATGTGACAAGTGCTAGTTTCAAGTTTACTCTAGGGCTATCATCATGGATTAGAACTACATCACCAGCCTTCACGGATTCTGTGTTGATTCCTGAACCTTTGTGGAACTCTCGAGGGGAGGTAAGGTACTCATGGCGCCATCGTTGCCAAAAAGTGTTGGATCAGTGGGTGACACGTTTTGCCCTTCTTAGTAAATCTGTACTTGTTTGGTAGGTGGGATCACTCACCCCGTCACTTTCTACTGGTGGATGTGGTAATGACGTAATTAAGTCGGCCATAAAGTAGATGTGCAGGGTTAATGCTTCCTCATCCTTAATGTCTGAGGAAACGAGGTTAGGGGACGATCGTTTAGAATTGCCTCTACTTCAACAACAATTGTCTGAAGAGTGCACAGGTTGACTGCAGCTCTGCAGTACCTTCTTGATGGTGGATTTGGTGAGACCGATGAGGCGTTCCCAAAACCCGCCCGTACCAAAGGCGCCTTCTTGGGATGAATAGCCATTCAATGCCTTCCCTTGCTAGTGTTTCCTTGAGGCGCACGAGATTGAAAACAATTCCTTTAGTTCATTGTTCGCTGATACAAATGTTGAGGCATTGTCAGATATTAGTTTCTTGGAAGAGATTTCCGACTTGCAAATCTACGAAAGGCTAGTAAGAAGGTTTAACGGTCAAGTCTTCGACAACTTCAAGATGAATAGCCCTGGTTGTTGCACAAGTAAAACAGACATATGTAGACCTTTGTTTCGATTCCAGCATTTGAACATACAGAGCTCCGTGTAGTCCACCCCAGTGACTTCAAAGGGTTGTGTTTGTTGTATTCTTGACTTGGGAAGGGGTGGTGGGTCTGGTGCATTGTAGGCTGTTCCTGAGACCTTTCTGCAGGTTACGATTTGTCAATTAAAGTTTTGACGCTGGTTGTCGCCAGAAGGAACCCAATAAGTTTGACGAGGGCGTGGAGTGTTGAGTTGACACCTGCATGAAGCTGTTTGACATGGGTGGAGTGAATTACAAGATCTGTGAAATGGTCTTTGCTTGGAAGTAGCAGAGGAAACTTGGGTGTTGCCACTTAAGGGTGGTGCCAGGTATCCTTCCACCACAGCGTAGAAGACCACCATCAAGGAAAGGCTACGTTGATTTAACAAAGTTGTACGGTGTCGCGACTTCAGAGAGGAGGTTGTTAACTGCATGAAAGACAACAGATTGACGATTCTTCACCCATTCTGTCATGGCATGATCATATTCCATGGCTGTAATTGGGCCTTGTTGACTAAGTTTCTTCTGGAGAAGTTTTACAAATCTGAAAACATAGGCTATGTAACACGAGAAGCTTTGGTAAACTGTTGAAACCATGGATTGATCAGGCGGATGAAGGCCTTGCTGTTGAAGTGGACTGTGCCGCCTGTGGTAGACCCACCAGGAGAGGTTTCAGTTGCTGATAAGTGAAGAACTCTTCGTCGAGGCCATGAAGGCCACTGGGATCTGTTTGGTAACCATGTGGGACCATGTTTCCACAGCAAGGAAATCTCTAGTTGATGTGCTGTTATCCTCTTGTGAGAAGATCGGAGGTTTTTTCAGTTGTAGGCAGTACTTCCAGTTTGAAGTTGATGTCTTTTTTACTTTGATGCTAGTGTTGACGAATGGCTTCAACAACTTGGTGCTTTTTGAGCCAGTGGAGAACAATTTGGCTGTCAGACCACAATGTGACTCTTGTAACTGGCAGTTGTTCTTGAAAGATATGAAGCTAAACGTATGGCTGTTAGAGTTGCCATAAGTTCCAATTCTGGAAGGGTGAGTTTCTTCCTTTGTCGGAGCAACACGCGACTTTCGCCATAGCCTAACGATGACTGGCTTCCGTTTACTAAGTAAGCAGCAGCTCCATAGGCTTTCTGGCTTGCATCAGCGAAACATGTAGTTCTGTATCGCTGCTATCGACAGAGACATTAGAAGAGAAGTAGCGGCGTGGGAACTCAAGTTTGGTTGCATCTCCAATCTCCTTTGCTACAGCACGCCATTTTTGATCAAGAGAAGGTGGAAGGGGCTCGTCCCAATCAATCCTTCCTTCCACAGTTCTTGTATTAGAATCTTAGCGCAACGGTGACTGGTTGAAGTGTTTGAGTGGATCAAAGACTTTTTGCTGTTTCTTGTAACACCTCTCTTGGTTGACAACGGGGGTAGAGGTTGCCTGTTTACATGAGAATCGAGCGTGTCTGAAGTTTGTGTCCCATACCATGCCAAGTACTTTTTTAGTTGGACTAGTGTCGAGGATTTGATTTTGGCTGCAATATGTTGAACACCAGGGACTGTTTGAACCCATGACCTGAGATTGAAGCCCACCGTGACATTTTGTTCCTGGCATCTTGGTAATAGTTGACTGCTGAATCATCATCGCTTGTTCGTAGGCTAGATCATCCACATACAGATTCCTTAACATATCCATGCTGACTTGGTCTGTAGACTGTGTGAGGTGCTTATTGAGAGTGGTATTTAAGATGAAAGGGGAACTTGTGGCACCAAACATGACAGACTTGAATCGGTAGACAATGAATTCACTCTCCGGTCATCCGTGTTAGATAGCCAGTAGAAGCGTGGCATCTGGGATCAGCTTGGTCTAGGTTTACATGTAAAAATGCCTTTTCAATGTCTGCAGTTATAGCATACTGGTGGAGACGGAAGCGTAGAAGCATACCAGTAAGATCATTGAGAAGTGGAGGACCTGGCTGTAAGCAATCATTCAAGCTGGGTTGTTCACCGCTTGAAGCTGCAGTCAGACACAATGCGAGAGGAGTTGTGGTAGAGTCCTTGAGAACAGCGTGATGAGGTATGTAATGGACACACCCGTTGGTTGTTTCTGGATTGTCCACTCTTTCGATAAAATCGCGAGATTGTTGTTCTTGGATGATGTCATTGTACATGCGTAATTTATTAGGATCTTCAGCTAGTTTTCTGACCATGGAGCGGGTTCTCTGCTTAGTGATTTCTGCATTTGATGGTAGAGGGGGATGTTCTGGTCGCCAGGGTAGCTTTTGCACTGTACCGCCATCCTCCAACATGATAGACGAGTTTTGATAGTACTTCAGAAAGTCAACCGTTTTCTTCTGATGAGCTTGGCTGAACACCAACTGATTCAATCCGCCAGAAACGTTCCAAATCAAATTGTTCTTGATGATGCTCAGTCACAACATTTAAAATAGACGTGTTTAGGTTCTCTGAATGGTTACTGTTGGAGAGGGGGCCCTAAAGGAGGTATCCTATCTTTGATTTGGCTGCTGTGGGACCTGGACCCTTGACAACTTCGTTTTCCACTATGTCCCAATAATGATCTGCACCGATTAGAATATCAACTGTGAAAGGTGAATCATCAACGTTTTGTGCTAATGACAGTCCTTTTAGTGTGGTAGTTCCCTACATTGGCACCAGTGTAAGTAGTGAGGGGGGCAGCTATTGTTGGTACAATGATCACGCCGAATGGGAATGTTCTCCTCTTGAGCGGTTTCAACAAAAAACGGTGGCAGTGTCAATGCGTTTAACGGATGATGTGTTCCCACCAAAGGTTGACAGGGATATGGTCTCTTGCATTTCTGGTTTCAGATCAAGTTTGGTCGCTACATCTGAAGTAATGAAGGAGCGTTGAGACCCTTCATCAAATAAAATGTGTGCACTGATGTGGTTGTTGTGACTACCAACAGAAGCAACGGCTGTTTTCAGTAGAACGGGTGTGTCTGCTAGTATCACCAATGTGGTAGGATGAGACTGAAGGTGCTGTAGTCTTGTCTGTGGTGGGTGTACATTGAGCCTTGTTTGTAGTTGGCGGTTCAGTGGATGACACTAGGGGAGTTGATTCTGCATTTTGGCAAAGACTGGTATGATGCTTTTGATGGCACACCTTACATCTGTTCCGTGACTTGCATTTAGATACTGAATGACGATTAAGACAGTTAAAGCATACCCTTGCATCACGCATAATGGAGTATCTCCTTCCCTTGTCTGTTACAACATTACAATCATTTGAACTGTGTTCGCCCTTACAGAAAAGGCATGTTCGCTTGGTAGGGGCCGATCAGTGGGAGGAGGGAGAACAGGTGTAGGTGGCTTTGAAGTCGCGGAGAAATGCAGCAGTAGCAGCAGTTGTTGAGTTGCTACTGAGTTCATAATCGCTAGAACTGTTCTGACCTGCTTCTAAGATTTCAATTTTCGGCTCAAGATTGCCTTACGAAGTTGTCAAGCTGCCACCCTTGTTTCCATTTTGCCTTGCTAGATTCCTCTTAATTCCATTAGGTAACTTCTTCTGAATGATGGGAACAAGAATATCTCCATACGTTTCTGTTTTCTTCCCTAGTGACTCAAGTCCCTGATGTGTGTTTCAACTGAGTCATAGAAAAGCCTCAAACTACTTAAATGATCAGTGGGTGATGGAAGGTTGAGCAGTGCCTCCATGTGTGCATTGATAATCTTGTGGGGTTGAGCCGAATCTATCTTTCAATAACTGGATGCTCTTAGCGAATTGGCACTGGTTAATGGCAACCCGGCAATGACTCTTTCAGCCCGCTGCGTAACTGTGCTCTCAAATAATTGAACTTTTGGACATCACTGATCAAGAGTTATCGTGGTACTGCAGACTGAAAAGCGTCCCAAAACGATTGCCATTCAAGCGGGTTCCTATTAAACGATGGCAGTACAAGTTTAGGTAAACGATTAGTTTGGAAATGTATCACCGCGGTGGTGTAATCGGAGAATCGGTGGTGTAATTGGGGATTCTCTGCTGAAGCGGCTGTGTTACTTTGAAAATCGCTACCTGACGTTCCAGTCGAAGGTGGGGAATTGATTGTTGATTTTCTTGTTCCGTTTGCGGCGTAGATGGAATGGGTTGCTGATTTGTTTGTCCCTTTTGCGGTGAACTTGACGTGGGAGTACTGATATTCCCGGACTGTGAGACAACACGCACTGGTCGAGGTTTCTTTTGGCGAGCTCAATTAAATTGTCGGTGAGGCAAACCTCTCCACGATAAAAGGCTGTCTAGTTCCTCTGCATCGGTATTTCTGCTTCGAGTTCCTCAGGAGTTTCCAGTAAAACTGCTATCTTATCGTTAAGTTCCTTGAGGGTTTGTCTCTTTTGCTTTAACTGCTCCACGAGAGACTTGAGTAGTACAATTCCGTTGTCGGGCTATTGTTCCTTCTGCAGTGTCATCGATTTTTTCTGTCTTAGTTTGGTTAAATGTGCTTTGCTTGAGCTCTTCTTGGCGCTAGCAGTTTGGTAACTCTTCCATCCTGGTCTCGCACCAAAAATGTGGGGAAGCAGTAAATCTGACAGAGAACTCAATGTAGTTACATGTATATTTCAGACAACATTAACACAACATGGCGGTCATAAAGTAACGAGAGCGAGGCAGAAAAAGGTTCTGTTCTTGTGACGTAAGCATTACATAAATGACCGCTGACCAGGTAACGAATTACATGAAAGGTAACGAAATACACGTTCAAATGTCACGATTTAACTATTTCACAGTAAATAAGTACAGATGTACATACATGGGAATTGTACACACACAGTATAGCCTTTAATCAGGAATAGAGTACCGAAGTGTGACGTCATAAAAAATGAAATTTGTGAAATTATGGGATTTGTTAAGCTATTCTGAAAGAACAACGTCTAAGACGCCTACTCGCCAAAAATTAGCAATTTGGGGTAAATTGTCTCTGAGATATTAGCCCAGTTATGCTCCGATGACTCCATACAAATCCTTCTAAATCTTACCTGGTTCCTAATCTTATGAACCAAGCCAAATTTAGAAGGATTTGTATGGAATCGTCACAGCATATCTGGGCTAATATCTCAGAGACAATTTGCTTTAATTGCTAATTTTTTTTTTAGTAGTAGGCCTGGACGTTGTTCTTTCAGAATAGCTTAACAAATCCCATAATTTCACAAATTTCATTTTTATGACGTCATCACTTCGGTACTCTATGAGGTCTCCTTAATCAACAAGGAAAACTAATAAGATACAGTGGAACCGTGTTAACTCAAACTCAGATTAAATAAACCTCACATGATTGACAGCATTGTGCAGCGCCACAAGATTGCTCCAAAATAGCTGAATTTTTGTGAAATCCCATACAAACCTGGTACTTTCCATTGCACTTTACCACAACTCCAACTTTTTCATCTGGACGGGTCTTCTCTACAACCTGTGCAAAGAGCCAAAAGATTGCATGGGTAAGAAGAATGTGGTAAACATAGCTACAATGTACTAAGTCACGATGAATCACTGAAAATAATCTTATAGATACAGCACATTTGGAAAACACAAAGGATGTGAAATCTTGAAGTAAAAAAGATCTCTATCAAACAAACAACCCAGTATTATAAATAACATTATTTTTTGGCCCAGTTTCAATTAAATATGAATTAAATATGATTAGAAAAAACCCTGGCATAAGTGCATGTAACATGCCCCTGTTATTGTGAACACAACATTTTCTGGCATTTGGTCAGTGCCCAAAGCTAAAATTTTTTCACGGTCACCTTTTGGCAACCCTAAAACTTTACAGAATGGTCACCAGACAAGATTACATGTACATGTAATATTGCTCGCCAAAAGGAAAACAAAAACTTTGTACAATATTACAATTAAGTGTTCAACACAATTAATCAAAATACCTCCTAAAAAATCAAAACCAAAGTTGGAGGCATGCCTGACATCTCAAGGCTCACATGCATGTAATACTAAGGCAGCCAGGGTGAAAAGACAATGGAGAACAAAAAATATATCATACAATATTTCATGACCTCACAAACTAATTAAAACACTATGGCTCGCACTATTGCTACTAAAAGCAGGTCGCCAAATTGGAAACTTTCCCTACAATTTTAGTTCCTAATATTTTTTTCCTTTAGCCATGGTGACCAAATCGGTTGCAGTTTGGAGCCCTACTGTACAATAAACACCTCAAAGACTGCGCAGTGGAACCATGATAATTTATAATGAGGCCCAGGGGACATCCATATATTGCACCATTTTGGGGGTGAATTATCTTGTTTGTTAAACTGAGGACTTCCTTATACAGGGGTATAGATGTTCATTATATTGAGGTTCCACTATGCCAAGATAAATAATTATGTTAGCCTAGAGCCCACAGGTTATGTTTTCAAAGTACATGCATGTAGATTATCAACCTCATATAATGTATAAATGAGAGAAGCACTAACCTTTGCTCCGCACTCAGCTGACTTATCAATGCAAAATCCAATGAACACGGGATCGGCCATCTTGACAAGGATGTTGTCCACGCAGTACACATGAATATACTCTATGCCTTGCTTCCTCATCTGCTCTGTGTTAACACGCTCCTCTGGACCCAGGGCTGCGTACAAACCACCGTTTCCTCCAGGAGCTCTGGCAACTTTATTTCGTTGATCAAGAATGATCTTACCATCAAATGTTAGACAGGGGAAGGTATGCTGCTCAAAAAAAACAACGTCCTCTGTGTGCAGTCCAAAATAATTGTGTTCTTCAAAAAATGTTTTGGTGGCATCCATTGTGTGTTCACTGGTCATGATGTACCTAAAGTGGTGTACAATCAATTTAAATAGAACTACAACCCGGTTTGTAACCCAGTGGGACACCCCCCCCCCACCCCCTTGTAAGCAATACACTCTAAAAGTCTTAAAGATAACTATTACCTTAAACTTACAATATCTACCTTATTCTTGTTTGCTTTACCACTTCAGAGGTACACTTGTCAGTCACCATCATTATAATAATCCGATTCCTTGCTCTACATGTATCCTATCTAAATACCAGTAAAATAATGTTCCACTCTATCTTTCTGAATGGATACTTGCACTGGCTGTAAACAAATACCTAACACTTAAAAGGAACACCCATGAAAATACAATACAGTTCACCACTGATTCAGTAAACTACACTGCAGTTACTGCACTTTTCAAAAATGCCCAAACTCTGAAGATCAAAAGCTGCCTTCAAAATTCTGTTTTTCCCTGCCGTCAATCATAATTACACTGTACGATCACAAGCAACAAACCTTGAAACACAAAAACGGATCGAAATCCACCAATCACAAATCACAATCTATGATCTTTTGAACCTGTTAAAGTAAAGTTCTGTTTCCTAAAAGGTCTGCTTCCTAGATGATTGACGGCAGCAAAAAATGCAAAGTCAGTTGGCTTTTGAACTTCAGAATTCGCATATTTTTAAAAGGTGCAGTAATGTACCTTTAGTACCACTGGCTAAAAATTCCTTACTAACTTTCTAATCTATCTGAATTGTTAGAAACAGCAATAACCAGTTTCCACCAGGAGCAAAGGTCAATTTTTTTACCCCTTGTATAGAGTAGAAATTTCTAGTCTTTGAGTCTGTGGAAGAAAAATAAATGTATTTGGAATCATTTCCACGCAAGACCACAAAGAATTTTCCTGCTGAATGTTGTTTGTTTCTTGTGGATATTCAGGAACAACGATAGATCAGTAGATTAGGATTCATACTCTGTTTCTTATCATTGCAAATTGCACAGAAAATAAATCTGATCTTCTAGAATCAGTAATGGTTGGCCATTTTTGGTAAAAGTGATGAAAATGAAATTCCAAAAAAATTAATACATGGCGAAAACGTTGTGTTTGGATGTTGGCGACTGTTATCTGCCCATACATTGGTCAAGGATCGATATTTTTTTTTTTCGGGATCCCAACCAAAGCAGACTAACATCTTACTCTAAGCGAGCACAAGATAACCAGTGCAGAAATACACCATCTCAGATGTCTTGATTGGTAATTAAATTACCCCAAGGAGGAGGAAAAAACCTGTACGAAAAAGAAGGAAAATGTAGACAGTAACCTTGGGGACTTTGAAAGTTTGACCTAAAGTAAATATAAGCTTAACGTATGACACTTGAAAGTCACGAGATAAGAGCCGGAAAAATAAACTGCGTTACCAATATGACTACACACACGCCTGCATTATACAATCATAACAAAGCGACTTTGTGAACGTACATGTATTACTATCTCGTAACTTATTTTATAGGGTACTTAAACATTAGTAAGAATTATGTCGAACTTTCAGAGTTATTATTCTTGTTTCTCTTTGAGTCGTGACGAGACAACGATGCACAACACCGGCTATTTCTTCACCCGCCGGTGGTTCATGGTCAGGACAAGGGAAAAAGTTAAATTCCTATGCGGTATACATGCAGTGCTTACATAAAACTGCAATCGTTGCTTCTGTCTAGATTAGACCAAAGAATAGTACAGAAAAAACACCGGAAAACTAACATGCGTACACGGATTAAAAGCAACAGCTCTGACGCCACATTTCTGACTAAAGATGACAAAACATCTACAGCGGAATTAACCAGATAAAAATGCCGGTTTTTTAAGGGAATATACATTCAACTCACCAACGAATTGTCCCTTTCTTTCCAGTGCGCTTGTAGGCCAATTCCTGAACTTTCAAGATTCTCTCAGCTTGTAATTGGTAGAGAGTTTTTCTTGAAGGCAAACCTACATCATACATCCCTTTAGGAAATGAAACTCCCAAACGAGTACCTTGACCACCGGCCAGCAGCAACACAGCGACTTTCCCTTCGCTTATAACTCGAAGACCTTTGTCTCTCCAACTATCGACTTTATTTTGGTTTACTTCTCCAATGACGCTACCAACGAGCTCTGGAGGAACCGGCTCGATTTCGTCTTTCTTTTCATTTCCTTTCGCTTCGTTCATGGCTGCCTCGAAAGAGCGGTTAACTTGAGCGAATTTGATGTTTCGCAATTCATCGAAGAAAATTGACTGCTCGTTTTTGCTTAATGATTCCCAGTGTTTAAGCAAATGTTCCTGGTTGTTCTCTTTTAAATCTCTCTTTAACTTCTCGACATCCATTGCTGCTCTGAAGTGAACAGTTTTTCTAGGAGACGCAAAGAAGCACTGTTATATCTGGTCCAACCGGCAAAACAAGTATCACGTCATTCCTTATCACGTGCTTCTTGTCGTCACTGTACCAGTCGATCATGCCATCCGTCGCCTGATCAAAAAAAAAAAAAAAAAAAAACGAGAAAAAACGCCAATAAAAAGGAAATAATTTATAAAGACATTTCTTCTCTTAAACAAATGAAGTGGTCATCCTTTAATGATTGTGTTTTGCAGTTGAATGACTTTGTTTATGTGCTTGTATACCCCCAACAGCTGACGTCCACATGCGTGAGTCACAGCATTGTAATATCCAGTGGTCACAGACAATAATGAGCATGTCGTGGTCAGCCAAAATTATTCTAGTGATGCATGGTTGAATTGGACTATTTTTAAAATTGACGACCTGGTAATCGCTCCAAATTTCGCGTCTTGTTCGCACCGGAAGCGCTTGTGACAAACGACATAAACCACTTTTGCGCTTGTTTCACGTTGATCAACGTTACGCAGTGGTCGGAAGCCGCATACTATTGTGATTTTCAAAGCTGATTCTGTGTTACCGTTATTTACAGGAAGGTGTTTGGTCGGGCAAAAAGGGTCGAGACACAAGCCATGCACGTATACTGGTGCGAGTCCTGGGCCCGGTGGGGGGGGGGGGGGGGCGTTACTCGGGTTAATTTTTGCTGGGTAATGTGCCGCTGGCCTCTCCCATTATAGTCTATTTGGAGGCCAATTATAGACCCCATCTTTGTCACTTTTGGGCAACTATGTAATTTTCACGATCTTAACTTAGTCACTTTCTATTTATGTATCGACATTATCAATCCTTTAAATAGGTCATCATAAAATGAATTGACCAATTTTTTAAATTGACTGAAGAACACTTTACTTTTTACCCGGTACAGACATTCTGGTACGATTGCTAACCGTAAATATGAAGAACTTTCTTACCCCAGAATCCTAACTGAAATTTGCGACCCCATTATAGTCAGTCCAGCTGTGAAAATGCGACTCCATTCAGCAGCACATCCCCATTAGCCTCTTAAAAGGAAGTACCCATCCGGGGTCCTGGGGCTCCCGGGGGTCAGAGGGTGGGTGTGTTCGCAGGCCTGCAGTTTCCCCCGCACTGCCACTGTTGTCAGTCAATAGACCTTTTTACCGATACAGCGGCCATATTGAATTAATTAGATTTAAGGAGTATTATGGGATGCCCAGGGGGGCATAAGCATATTCTGATACGCGTGCCTTTCGGGGACATTGTTGTTCAGGGTCTGGAAAGGTGTGTTTCTGATGTTTGACTAGAATACGGAGAGGGATTCGGGAAAGCGTAAAATATCTTGAAGGGACGGGATTCACCAAAAATTGGGCGCGGGATACGGGATTTTTTTCTTTTGCCCTTCTGCACTGTGTCTGTTGGGAATACTTTCTAGCGGCAAATGCGAAGTCAAACACTCGAACGTTCCGTGGTGTCTCCTATAAAAGCAAGCTGTACAATGAAGTAGCCGTGAGTGATTATTTAATTGAAACTGTTAAGTAATTCAACCTCCTTCCCAGGAATAAAGGATTAAATTAACTGCAAAAACCGTGGACGAAGATCCTGCTAGTTGTAAACGTTGGATCTCTAGAAAAGAGATCAAATCAGCCAAAATATAAAGAAACAAGAACGAGAAGTCCGAAGACTACACAAAGCTGATTTAAAACAACGTGTATTGTTTTTTTTATAACAATATTTCGGCTGGCCATACCAGCCTTCTTCAGCTGTAAACCTGAAGAAGGCTGGTATGGCCAGCCGAAATACTGTTATAAAAAACAATACATGTTTTTTTAAATCAGCTTTGCTGTAGTCTTCGGACTTCTCGTTCTCGTTCTCGTTCCCAGGGCCTTTTCCCCCACATCCAAAGCCGGGGACGAAGTTGGTAATTAGCACATGTACAAGAGCGGACAGAAGACACACTTACTTCTCAAGCTCTTTTCATTTATACGGCGTATTATTGTATATCTTATCTTAAACTTTAGATCAGTAGCGAGCGACAAACACTGAACTCTGCTCCCGTAAATAAGACAGGCACTGAGAGTTTTGGTATGGTTATCTCTTGCCGCCTCAGGCGAGTCCTCTAGCACCAGAATAGCTTGTTCCAGGCGTTCAGATGATGAGGGCAGTGAAAAGAACTTGAGCGGGAAAAACATCGAGAAGGTAATGCAATGATCCTAAGATACTCGTAAATTCAAAGTATCAATCAAAAGAGCCAATTTACATTTATTAGTTTTTACAGTCTTCTTATCGTACCTATTTTGGAGATTAAAAAAAAGGGATTCGCAAAGCCTTTCTAGACCCCCTATAGATTCCAGACGGTGTAAGTTCCCATGCACTGAATTCAGGTCGATTTACACAGCTTTGATCAAAACATTCTCAGTTTGGAGAACTGATTTCAGGATGCTAAACCACAAGAAGAGACTTGATTAGAAGTGGTGATTTTTCGCTATTTCTCTTTCACTTCTTACATACAGTTTAAACTGTGGCAGGAATGTAATCCTTAGTAATTAAAAAGGTTTGATCAATTCACGCTCGCGCGTTCTCTTTTATTTTAGTCATTTTTTTAACTGTTAAGACAATACTACAAAATATGGTTGCGGAAGGACATATGTGGGCAGAGAAGTGCGTCGTCCACCGTTCTGCTAGTGCTGTGATAAGCTTGCCGTTGATTCACTCGTTTCAGCGTAGGGAAGCTTGCTTGTTTGTGGACTGAGTCTTATTCCCCCAAAGATCGAGATTGGTGTCTAACAGATCGTTTCAAATCAAAGTTTTCGTGTAAGGTACTTACCACCACTTATAACTTCATCCGCGCTAATCCGAGTCCGCGCTCCTCCCCCGAGAAAAGGACGGAAGTCTAAGGCGTCGTCTAGCTAAGGCTGCATATGTTAAAAATTTCAACCCTACAATTTCCTGGGTTGTAACAACGTAACATCGACCAAGGGGAGGTTTTGTGTCCAGCGGTTTTAGTGAAAACAAGGGTTTGTAAAATCTCGTAGGTATTTGCCTAAAATTTCAACCTCGGAATTTTAAAAACTATAATCTACAATGAGACATCTTAAGCCCACCATTGCAGACAGTGGACAATACCAGAGGACGTAATTGTGTGATAAGATAAATATAATGATATATAAAATATATCATATATGAACCGCGGAAATTAAATGAAAATGAAGAAATGATCGTCGCAGTGAACGCAATTTATGCAATTGCGTAAAGAAGCCTGAAAAAAAAATTCAGGACTTCAACGGGGTTTGAACCCGTGACCTCGCGATACCAGTGCGATGCTCTACCAACTGAGCTATGAAGCCACTGATGTTGGGAGCAGGTCAATTGTGGGTTCATCTGCATATGTTCCCGTGAAAGAAATGAGTGTTAATGATATATAAAATAAATCATATACGAACTGCAGAAATCAAATGAAAATGAAGAAATGATCGTCGCAGTGCACCCAATTTATGCATTTGCGTAAAGAAGCCTGAAAAAAAATTCAGGACTTCAAAGGGGTTTCAACCCCTGACCTCGCGATACCGGTGCGATGCTCTACCAACTGAGCTATGAAGCCACTGACGTTGGGAGCAGGTCAATTGTGGGTTCATATGTTCCCGTGAAAGAAATGAGTGTTAATGATATATGAAATAAATCATATAGGAACTGTGGAAATGAAATAAAAATGAAGAAATGATCGTCGCAGTGAACGCAATTTATGCAATTGCGTAAATAAGCCTGAAAACAAAAATGCGTTCACTGCGACGATCATTTCTTCATTTTCAAGATAGATATATTTCATTGAAATTCACCATAACAGATTTTGACTTTTTGCTACAGGTAAACAGATCTATGCACACTGGTTGGGGTGGGGGACACACTACGGGCTGAGACCATTGGCTTCCATACACATACAACAAAAAGAAAGAAAAAAAATTCTTGTTTCCATAAATAATTAAGACAACAACAACTACAACAAAATGATCTGTTTAATGCCACTAGATAAATCGTATTCTTAAATCAATAGTGGCTTAATTGCCGATAGCTTGGGTCACAGGCTTCCATCCGTTTCTTCATCCTCATCCCTTACGAATGCCTGTCACTCATTTAACGGGGATGAGCTGGTTTTTACAAGCAACGGAGTCGGAGTCCGAGTCGTAATAAGGAGTCTAAAACTTTACGATCTAGTGAAAACAGCGTTTTGATTCCGCTTACGAAGTCCTCCGACGCTTACAATCTAGTGAAGATTAGGTCGACGGAGACGCAAGCAGAAGCAAAAGAACTTTCCGCTTCTGCTACCGACTCCGACAATCTAGTGTTCGCTAGAGCATAAGCGGAACATAAGCGACGGAGTCCGTAGAGGAGTCGGAAGAAACGGAAACGTTCCGATTCTTCTGACTCCGATTCGGTCGCGCTTATGACTCCGCTTACGAATCCGATTTTTCACCAGGTCATAAGCGCTCCTACGACTTCGCTTACAACTCCGACTCCGTCGCTAGTGAAAACCAGCCTTAAATGTGTATATAGCCGGTAAAAAAATTAAAAAAAATTAGAAATACATGGAAGCAAGCCCTGGTTATTAGTTTGGGTTTGGGTTTGTATAGGTAATAGCATGATTTGTAGTGATATTTGACAGAAATACCACGAGTGATATTTCGAAATTGTTATACGTAATTTCACGAGCCGTTCGGCGAGTGAAATTTGAGACGATTTTGAAATTTCACAAGTGGTATTTATGCCAAATATCAAGTACAAATTATGCTATTATCTGTTTATACTACTACCCACAAAGGTTTTGTAATTTTCACAGGTAGGTATTTCAAATTAAGCTGAAATACCACTGCTCTAAGCCAATCAAATTGCAGAAATTTCTCATTTAGTAGTATAAAACATTGTAATTTAGGTTACGTTCATCTTTCAGATTTGAACTCTCCACTTAAGAGCTCGGCGCGGCTCAGCTTCGCTCCGTCACAGAAATCGAACCGAAATCACCGTTCTTATGTGTGAATAGAAGCCCTATCCAGTATGGCTATTGCGCCGGCGCAAAAGCTGTTCAGTATGGTGCGAACACAGCCTTAATTCATGGAATACAACTGTACATGCATTGCAGTCAGTTTAAAGAGCTCGAGATGAAAGGTAAGCAAGTAATTAAACTATCCAATCACAATAATAGCAGTTTTGATGCAATTTAGTTTTAAATGTAATTTTTATAATCAGCAAATTGGAGTGGTAAGAGTAAACCATAACATAAAATTTGGCATTCACTTGGAAATACTACGAATAATCATCATTCCATTGGCATGTTCAATAGCTAGCTAATAACATCCTCAATCATAATAGAAAATTGTGCGTTACACCATGAATCTGGTTGCTAAAAGTCGATATAGTACTTGTATAAACATCTAGAATGTTCACAGTCCCCTCTTTTCCCGTAAGATCGTCGAGATAGCCTTTGTCACACAGTCCGCCCACGCATCGTCTGGACCATTTGTATAGTCTGTCTGTACAGAAGGTTTTAAAGTGTCTGCAACGCAGGCTACGTCGAGACCGAGCGCTTTGCGTTACGGGCGGCCATCTTTGGGATGAGCGTAAAATTTACTTAGGAGGGGGAGGTCGGTTTGGGAGGAGTCGGCACATGAAACCAAGATGGCTGCCGACCGGTAAGCGCTCCATCCTGGAGATCTTACGAAAAATTAAGGGACTGTGCCTGGAACAGTCTAATAAACACCTAAATATTTCCTTTTTTGAAAAATTCGACATATACACCTCATCATCAAACGACAATGGTGTAAAGAATCAATATTTTGAAACCCCTTGAATAATACAATAATATCTCAAAAACATCTAAATAATTTAAAATTCATTTCCATTTTTGTTACTGTTATTATTTTCCTCTGGTAACTACCCAAATAATCAACCTTCCCTGACTTTTTTGCATGGGAGTTCACCATTTCTTTCATCCTCTTCATCTTCAGCTTTGAGATAAATCTCTTTAGTTTTCACTGAGAATTGTCTGTCTCTGACTACATCTTCTAATCCCTGCAAGACAGCAGTTAACCATGCAACACTTAGCAATTATTGAAAAAGCCTTAGAATGATGATCTAAGAATTGTGGAATTCAAGCAGGGGCACCAACGATGGTTTCCTCCTACACACATTTAAAACACTTTTTAGGCTACCCAGAGTACTTTTAGATTTCTAGAAATGCATTCTAAGTGGCGCAATTAAATTTGTATCTGTTCGGTCATCCTGATCATCAGAAAAAAATGGACAGCTACCAAGAAGCCCTGGGAATGAGGTTTGATTGTTTTGGTATAGAGCAGTAGAAAACGACGGAGGATTTCACATGTTTCGCAAAGAAGAAATTACCTTAGAAAGAGCCAAACTTTTGACTAAAAACATAGCAAGAACACAAGAACACGACTTGACGGATGACATCTACTTTTCACGAACTGAATATCTGTTAGACTTAACATCCCTTTATATCCTGAACTTGTCTAGAAACGTTTCAGCTTAGTGGCGGATTTGGCCCTCATATGATCTGAAGAATTATGCAGATCTTGGAGGGACGTTATCTGCCGAGGCCAAAACACCCTCGAGCTCCTTAAACAAGGGCACCCAACAAATGTTTTTAGTAAAATATCTGTTCGGAGAAGCAAATATTGCTCAAGATTTTCTATAACTTGAAGACGGCTAAACATTTTCAGTGACCGTTCTATTCATGTACAATTTTTGAAGTTCACCTAATAAATTCCCTACGATTTTTGGAAGTTTAAGTTTTCACATTTCACTCCCCAGGTTAGGCTATTTTTCGTAGAAAAAAGGAAGCCTAAAATTTTCGGATTCCAAAATGTCATGGAGAGAGGAATTAGACATTTCTCACTTTCGTAATACGTTAAATTGCATCTAAAATTTTCGAGAAAATAATACTGAAGCCCTTGTAATTTCGAAAAGACTCAAGTTCCCTATGACGTACATACATAAGTAAATGGCTGGATATATAACTAAATGAAATCAGAAAAATTGAATGGGAAAGCTGGACTAACCCCATAGATATAACTTCTGGCTTAAAAAATCTTGTGCATCTTGAAGTCAAAATTGTTTCCAGCTTGAATTTAGTAAATGTTATGGTCAATTTTGGTACTTAATGCTTGAAGGAAAAAAAAGGGAGCATGGCACAAAAAGGGCTTACCTCTCCAGCATATGAAAGAAGAGGAGAAATTTCACAAACTACAGTTGCATCCCTGAAAGAAAAAGAAAGAGGAAAACACGTCAAAAAAGACTATCCAACTTGGCGATTAAAGTACATACAGTGTATGCATTGCATATAGCATAAAAGGCATTAACAACTTCGTAAAATTAACAAGGTAGTTATATACTCTCAATTACAAATACACCCCCAAACAGTTTAGAGCATTATACTACTACATGAGAAATTTCTGCAATTTGATTGGCTTAGAGCAGTGGTATTTCAGCTTAATTTGAAATACATACATGTGAAAATTACAAACCTTTTGCGGGTGGCAGTATAAACAAATAATAGCATGATTTGTACGTGACATTTGGCATAAATACCACGCGTGATATTTCAAAATTGTCTCAAATTTCACTCGCCTAAAGGCTCGTGAAATTGCGTATAACAATTTTGAAATATCACTAGTGGTATTTATGCCAAATATCACTACAAATCATGCTATTACCTATACAAACCCAAACCCAAACTAATAACCAGGGCTTGCTTCCATTTATTTCTATTTTTTATTTTTACCGGCTATGTACATATTTAAGGCTGGTTTTCACTAGCGACGGAGTCGGAGTTACCCATACCAATATTTACAAAAATTGTAAATAACAAGATAATTTGTATAATTATTATAATCTTGTCACCACAGGTGCTGCATTCAAACTACATTACCACACAGTCTACAAATGACGAATTCCAAAAATTAATTAAACTAGGCCACTTCTGCATCGCCCCAAGCTAAGAGTAAGTGTGAACCCTTGATATCAAAAGTAAAATTATCTTATTCCCAAGAAAAGATTAAAAACTCATTTCCACAACTGACAAGAAGTCTCAAAGTGTAAATTAAAGTGAGGGTTTTTGGCACACAGAAAAGGCATGTTCAGATACAAAATATGCATTAATGCTGTTAATGCAAGCATTCTAGGACAAGTTGAATTAAGTGACTTGCACGACATTGTACTTCATTGCATTCAATAAGACGCTGCTGATCTAAATGTTCTTTCCCCACCGTCAAAATAACAGGAGCAACACTGAGGACTATGAGAAAAGCGATGGCAGGACTTACTCATTACTGCCGTCAATAAACTTGCCACCAGCTCTGAGTATGTAGTTATAATGTAAATTATAAAGGTCTCGCTGGGCTGTGTCTGGGCTGTCCATTGGTGAACCCCTGCCATTTTTAAGAGGCGAGAATTCTTCTTCTCGTGCAACTTCTAGCACAGCAAATTGTCTAAGACATGAATCAAAAAGAAAATTTAGCACATGATCCAGACAGAAATACAGAATACCAGGCAATCAAAAAAGTTTCCATAAAAACCACCACTGTTTTTGGGAATTTCCACTCTCCTTTGTGAGAATCTCCATTTGTCACTGGGAGGCTGAGGAGAGGGGAAAGGGAGGGTAACACATGTAGGCAACGATAGAAGCAAAGAGGGAAGGACTTAGGACAGCGCCTTTTGCTCTTCTTACCAATATCTCTATGTGCTTATTATTTTTGTTTAAGCTAGTGGGAGCTGCTTGTAATGGAAAAGCTAGATGGTGCTTAAGTTTTTCAATCTCAGTAAACAAAAGTATTTAGTTTAATGTCTGCTTATTTAACAACTGTGGTTAAATTTTAAGACTGAAGTGTCTTGTTTTAGTCATCAGGGTGTAGGTTGGGGTGGTGGTGAAGGAGTGGGGTCAGGTATTTTGCCTACAGTTGTGGGATATGGAATGAGAGAGCCCAGGAAAAAAAAAAAGACACCAAATAATAGGGGGGAGGGGCTTCCAAAATTTGCACAGGAATAACACTAAATTACCATAGTCTACCTCTACATAAATTATGACTCTTCCCCCAAAAATACCAAATGAATCAAGATAAATAGTAAATCCTAGTTCTAGGATACAACGTACAATAGTTGCTTTAGTACTGGATAAACAGAGCGAGTTTAAATCATTATTATTAAGGGCCATTTTAAAGGGCCCTGTCATGTTACGCCTACTTGCATTCTTTTATTTAAAAAAGAAAATAAAAAT